ATATATATATATATATATATATATATATATATATATATATATTAAATCACAATCACTCAGAACATAATAGTTGAATGATGTATCACTCTACAAATGGCTTACTTACATTAACTTAAAAAAAGTAAAAATAAAATATAAAAATATGTAAAAACATAAAATATATATTTTTTTATTGTTTTCAATTAAAAAAAAGTATTGTTTTCAATATTTCCCCCCCTACTTTTATAACTACATTCTAATCAGAACTTAACATGTTGTACAGTATGAAACTTTTTTTTTTTTTAATGAATGAAATTCAAAACTGGGTTCTTGTAATACTCAGCTGACGGGTTGGATTTGGTGGAACATTTCAAGTATAGATATTGCATGCTTCTGTGTTTCATATTTTAACAACACATTTTAATAGAGAGGCCAAATTTCTATAGAGTAGCTCCAAGTCTTTATTTCAACTAAATAAAATGTAAAACTGTATAATGTGCAATAATACTAGATTGTTGTTGAATGGTTTATATGAACTGTGTGTGAGTGTCTACTGTATATACCATACACACATACATGCATACATACATACATTATACATACAATAATGCTTAATGTTTAAATTAACATTAGGAAGCCATCTTGATTTAATAATTTGTATTACTTTCCAACTCATCAAAATTTGTAAACAAATTCAGCCTTCAGAAGCTGCAGTAAAAGAGTTCCTGCTAAATGTTTTATTCCAGCTGAATATTTGGGGCCAAATTTACTAAACGGCAAATCAGTGTGAGAGCGCAATTTCAAAAGAGTGCCAATGGGAGTGGAAATTTCTGTGTGTGATTTACTGACAATGTGCACATTAAAGAACACAGATGCAGCCAGATAATTTCCATAATGACCAACACAATCTACCAAGAGCAGCGCAAATTAGTGTCTGCTTTAGGTCATGCTTTTTGGAGCATTAAACAATGGCACAAATACCAGTAATTTGACGAGCGCAAACGTTAGTTAATTGCATTGCGAGATTAATTTTAATACACTCTTCCCATAAAATTTGCATCTGAAAGAGAAACTCATACAAATGCATATTCAATAAGGTAAGGCACAAAAATGTGTCTACACTGTGTCTACACCTTTTCAGCGCTAATTCTTCACTGGGCGCCTTTAGTAAATCCTGACTACTATTTTAAAGGGAAAAGACCATTTGCGCTGATGCAAGATGTTAGTAAATCTGGCCCATAATTTATTCAAGCACATTTACACTACAAGTCTGCAGTGTTGTCCCCCAATATATTAGGATATACAGAACTTGGATCGACACACACACACACACTTACTCTGTGAGAAAAATTAGACATATCCACTAATATCAACATGGTGGATAAATGCAATGTTTGTAATGGGGTTTAGGAATCCAAAGTTTGTTAAATATGCTGTGAAACAAAATTCTGATGACAGAGTATAATTAAGTAGTACGACGGTCCAAAATTCTTTAAATGTTCATCTAGTTTGAACTTTTTAATCAGTCTTGGCTAAATAACACTTGCTAGGAGCTGTTTTTCTGTGTGGTGAGCTAATAAAATATTTTAACTCAAAGATCAATTGTTTGTGTCCAATTATTCACTTATGTGGGAAGTAGCTGTGTAATAAGCAGGGTAATGTAGAGTACATAGAGTTGGTCATTATCACAAAATAAACCCCTTCAGGGTGATACAAGACTGATATGGAGAGCCGCATCATTCTCATAAGGATTGATTATAAATGCAGTAAGCAGCACATTTCACGTTTATGCTTGTTTCGTTGCCATGTTATTCTGAATACATTTTTGAGGAGACTCTTGTCACCGCACTCTTGTCTCCTGTGATGGACTACCACTGCATTCCTATTTTAGGGTAACCCGTTCTCACTGCCAGGGCATCAAACACTGCCATATGTCCATATGAAATGTGTCATTGCATAGATGTCAAAAGCGTCACGTTTGGAACCCACTGTTTCAATGAGAAACGGTGATAACGGGCAGATAAAAGTACAGTCTCAATAATTTACTCAAACCAGATTTGGACAGTGTCTCCATTCGCTTGAACACAAAACCAGCACTCATTAAGAAACTGGCTAAGTTTGAAGTGAAATGTCATGGGTACTCGTGTGTCTCGTGAATGATTGCTTCATTGCTACATGCTGAAGTTTGGATTAATTTTGTGAGATGCGAGTCTGTTCATGAAGTGTGAAGATTGTTAACAATAAACTCCTTTTACTATGTGGAATATCTTATTTTTTTTAGAAGTTTAGGAAAAAAAAACATTTTCTTGGTAATTATTGTGAGTACTTTTTTCTGTTGCCCGTTACATTTTATATTGTTGAAAAGTCATTGGGTTTAAGGTCAGGATGGGGTGGTGCTCATATATATATATACATACATATATACAGTATATAGTAATTTCTCCTACTTTTCCAGATTCAGGAACAGCTGATTAAATGCAAATAATTAAATGTGTAATAAAAATGTAATTCATCTTTTACAGATTTTAGCCAATAAAATGTTATGATTATTAAATATTTTTCCCGTCATGCCAGTATTCAATATTTTATGTTTCTCAAAGCAGTGGGTAGGCAGCCACATGACTTGTGGCACCTGTATAGTGATGTTCATTTCTCTTGGACAGAATTAGACACCAGTATTAGACACCTTGGAAGTGAGATTCTGGTTTGGCTGGGGATGGCATAATGCAACCAAGTCAGTTCAAGGTGCAAAAAAACAAACAAAACTGCAATTCACAATACCTAGCTGGATGGTTCCAGGAAGTCTTTACTACCTGATCTACTTATTTATGAAACCTGCCACCCGCAAAATGACGGCCCGTAGCGAGCAACACCCGAAGCGAGACACAGCCAGAGCATGACACCTGCTGAGCTGCATAATGTGTAATCCATACAAAAACATCATACGTTTGAAATAACCTGATTTCTCCCAATGAATGGCTCCTGTGCACCTCAGACACAGGGCTGGAAGAGCTTCCTCAGTATGGGGCAGAGCAGACGTATTAAACCAGCCCTGCATTCAGCCTGCGGAAAAACAGAGTATTTCCCCTGTGAATTAAGTGTGTTTGGTATCCTTACGACACACCTACCTTCACGCTGTCAGCACAGGATGAGGCACAGACTGACAATACGGAGCCGAGCAGGCTGCAATCTTGTAAGGGTTCAGCTTGGGCAGCAGCCTGGTGTGTGTGAAATGTAAACAGCAACACAATTACGTACACCAGGACACTCCATTTCCTCACAGATGCTGGACTGTGGAAAGGGGCATTCAGGCTGGACTTTACCTTTATCTGTAGGGATGATGCTTTGGCATGTCACTTACTGGCTCTACAGATATCCTCTGGAGAAAGATTACAGAATACAGCCTGCTTTGTTGCAGCATTCTTGGCTGCTAAATGCTCCGGTTATCATTGATCACTTCTGAACACTCCTAAAAATAAAGGGTCTTTATTGGCATTGATGGTTCCATGAAGAACCATTAACATCCAGAGAAACTTTCCATTGCACAAAGGGTTCAGTATAGTGGATAAAGGTTCTTTAGATTATTAAAATGTTCTTTACACTTGGTTAAAAGTTTCAGGAGTCACATCTGCGTATAAATCTGGGAATCACCCTCGAAATTGCAATGATTAACATACTGATAACCATAGCAATGGACGGGACAAAGATCTGTTCACTGAAATGATCTTTGAGGAACCAAAAATGGTTCCTCTATGGCATCACTGCTAAAACTCCCTTTGGAAGATTGTACATTGTCTCAATTTATACTAGATTTGCATTTTGTGAAGTTCTTGTAAGGCAGCAGAAGAAGAGTGTTTAATCCTGAATAAATGAAATGCCATATCAGTTCTGCTTCTCTGTGCATGGGAATGTTAACACAGATGTAAGAAAGAAAAGGAAATATATGCATGGAAAAAGACTGGTGATAATGACAATACTGGTAACGTCAATGTCATCACTAGATCCTGTGGTTAGATTTTGAATAGTGAGCACACAGTTTGAGTCAATCAATGCAATAGTTTACAACTTTAACCCTTTCCTAATCCTAACCCACTACATTGTAGAGTGTTTATTAAAGACAAAAATGAATAACATTCCTAAAATACAATCATCTACAAAACAGAAGTTTTAAATATAGTCTGTACATTCAGTGGAATTAATTAATGCACAATTTTATAATTAGAGTCGGAGCTTTAGAGCGAACCCTGAGGAGAATGACTGAAGATAATAAAGCGCTGTCGCTCAAGCACAGTAATGGCCAGCCGTCATATGATGATCAGACATGCTGTTTTTCTTCACCAAGTTACCGTATCTCCTCATGCAATGTCCAAGGTTATCCAAAAACCCTTTCTCTACAATCCTTCATATATTTTCTCACGGCCCCCAGTGGTTTACTGATGTTAACTAGTCAAACTGACAACATGATTAATAAATAAAAGCTCTGACACTACACGACTGATTCTGAAGGAGGCTGTATCTCACACACTTCAGACACCGTCAGGAGATCAGCGTATAACAGTGACGGCAACCCTCGGTAGGAGTCGCACGTGAACCTTCATCGCTGTACTTTAATCTGCATCCAGAGGTGGAAGGAGCTTGCACTTTAAGCAATGAGACTCATTAATCTGGCCTCTTTCGGCTCCTCCTGGAGACATTCCAGGGACAGTGAGTTATGGCCTGCTCCAGAGCCGAGGAGGGAAGCCTGCTGTCTTACCGGTGGAACGTCACCTTCAGACTATTGATCAGCACAGAGGACACTGAGAGCACCGGGCTCATGGGAACCGACGATCAAAACAAAACACCACATACATTAGAAT